TGAAGTGGTCACTTCCCATTGGGTCATCTCCGACACTCCACTCGAGGTGTTGGACGAGCTGGGGACTGCAGAGGCTTAAGTCTAGCGCTGACATCTCACCGGATGACATTGTAAAATGTGCACGAGTTCTTGTGTTTAAAATACATAGTAAAGCACAGTGGATAAAATTCCCACACAGCCTCCCACAAGCAATGGTGACGTCACACCCCCAAACAGTGTCATGCGCATTCAAATCGCCTAGAAGAAGAAGTGGTTGAGGCAGTTCAGACAGCAAACATCTAAGGTGCATCAGTGGAAAAGCGATGTCTGGTGGTCAGTGATCATTTTGAACTCCCCAAAACCGCGAAATAGTGCGCACGGTCACGAAACACAAGTTTTTCGATGCACTCCATCAATGATAGCACATTTTAGCAGTTTCTGCAAATCCAGCCACGGGTGTCGGGAAAATGCCCGCCTTTTTGGACGGTCCCCAACTCCGTGTGTGCAACGGGAACTCACAAAACGATTCGTTGACACATCCGACGCGTTACTGAATGCTGATTTGCCAGGCTGCCACAAACGCGCTGAAAGGGCAGTGCTTATCTGCGTCAAGACGCGTGCATCAGCAACACCTGAAAAAATGGCCTGCCTTCCTCCGTCGCCTCGATCCGCATCACACGCGGGTTAGCGTGGTAACACGCTCGCGCCAAGCAGCTCGGCGCACCACTGGGCAAGCGTCCAGAGGTCCTCTGTCGACGCCGGAGATGCCATGACGCTACTTCTCGCCTGGGCGGGTGTCGCGGCGGTGGTGAGCTGAGGAACACTGACCGTCCATGAGCTGGCAGAGTTTGGGCGCGACGCGGCTGACGAGCTCGGCTGGGCCGCGCACCAGGAGGGAGCCGGCGCCCGCCGTCCTCGCCCCCGACCGTCACCACCGCCAGTACCGTCTGTGGATCACACGGTCACCGGCGTCACACCGCTGCGCCCGCACGCTGCCGAGGTCAGGCAGACTGGCCACTGGAGGACACATCGAGATCACGTTGTTTGGAGTCTTCGGTTGGCTGGTTTGTCATTGTTTGCTGGTCTTTGGGCGAGGGGTATGGGGGCCATGACACTCAGACACTTGGATCAGACACTTGGTACTGAAGTTTCGAAGACTCAGACCCATCCCAACAAACACATGAGTCTGACAAGGAACAAATAGGACACGCCGCCGGGTAAGTGGACGAATACGTCCGGCTGACCAAGCAACCACAGCTTCCGTCGCGTACAGCATAGCCTGGGGACATGGTCTGCAGTGACAGGATAACGGTGGCCTTTGCACACGCTGCTGTCTGACGGCCCGAAGTGAAGTTTTTTTTCACAAGGACACGGAATACGGAGAGTATACACTGACCGGTAACACCCCGCAATGCCCACCCATGCCTACTGTGGCCGCGTTCGTCCGACCTGTTAGCGGCGGCCCGGCGGCCGCTGCGCAGGCCTGCCGGGGTCACTGACCTCGTCGTCGAGCAGCGACACCACGGTGGCCATGAACTCGGCGTCGCCGGCCGGCTGGTGGACCGAGAGGAAGCCGAGCGGCGGCGCCGCCGACCGGAAGCGCGCCACCTCCGCCTGCGCCAGCTGACGCAGCAGCTGGCGGCAGGCGCGCTGGCTGGTCTTCAGCGAGCGCTGCCACTTGTCCAGGATCGTGCCGTGCTCGGCAGGACCACACCTGGGCGGCGTACATCAGCTGAGCTCACGGCAAGGTCAGCAACAGCCCTGAAGGCGCACGCTGGGTATGAGGGCCCGTGGACTGGACTCAGCGTTTGGGTTTCAACTCAAGGTTAGTTCTGAGCTCAACGATTGGCACAAACTGAATGATTTTGTGAAGAGCCGGGTCGGTTACAGGGACAATAGTGATCGGGTCAGATCAGATCACGTGTCACGACAAAATTCACGTTCAGTGTTGAGGAAGGGATCCCAACAGCTGCTGATGTCAAGACATAAACTACCTGTTAGGGGCCAGGGCTAACGTTCGCTGCTTGGGGCCAAGCTAGGGGTCAGTCCTTGAGGCCAGAGCGTTGCTCATGTGTTGAGGCCAATGTGTGTGTGCACAGACTTCGGGGTCAAAGCTCATGCCAGGTCAAGGCTCATGTGATGCATCGAGATGAGTGTCATGGTTTGATAATATCAACAGATGACCGCTCACAACTACCAGGCATGTAGCTTCAATAAGTTACTCACTGACCACTGCTGCTCTGCCGTCCAAAGGCAAAAAGGCATAAGAACCATTAATTAGCACAGAACTTAAGCCTTTTCGCTATTGAAGGGCAGTGCTGTTGACGACATGAGAGCAGTAACTTTTCGTATCATAATGCCCGTGAAAATCACGGACCGATTCAACGAAATTATTATTAAATTATTAATTAAATTATTAATTAAATTATTATTAAATTATTAAATTATTATTAAATTATTCAACGTATTCAACGAAAGGTACTTTAGATAAGCGTTTTGAAATATGGTGTGTGTGTAACGACTATTCGAGGCATTTTTCAAGATAAAGCTTGTAATCATCGCCCTTGCTCTAACATAAGCTCTATCCTTCCCCATTTTTTACAGCCATCATCCTCACTGAGAGTCTGACATATTCCATGCCATCCCTTTCCGCAGCAGCCTTCAAGTACAACAGCACAGAGAACGCAGGGACCCAGAGACCAGTAGAGAGACCACAGAGACCGGAGACCAACACGAGAGCACAGGGACCAAAGACTAGCACAGAGATGAACGGCCGAGCCGGCACACGCGCCTCTGAGCCGACACAGTCTAACATACAGCGCCTCTGTGCCCGCACAGCCCCGCACACGGGGCCCCTGTGTCCACACATCCCCGCACACAGCGCCTCTGTGCCCCACAGCCCCGCACACAGCGCCTCTGTGCGGACACAGCCCCGCACACAGGGCCTCTGTGCCCCCACAGCCCCGCACACAGCGCCTCTGAGCCGACACAGTCTAACACACAGGGCCTCTGTGTCCACACATCCCCGCACACAGCGCCTCTGTGCCCCCACAGCCCCGCACACAGCGCCTCTGTGCCCCCACAGCCCCGCACACAGCGCCTCTGAGCCGACACAGTCTAACACACAGGGCCTCTGTGTCCACACATCCCGGCACACAGCGCCTCTGTGCCCCCACAGCCCCGCACACGGCGCCTCCATGCCCCCACAGCCTCGCACACAGCGCCTCTGAGCCCACACAGCCCGCAGCACGCCGCGCCCGACTCCGTGATCAGGCGCCCATCGCCGCCGTCAGCGCACCTCAGCACGGTGTTGAGGTGGGCCTCCCGGCCAGCAGTCTCGCCCAGGAGGTCCAGCAGCCGCTGGCCGGCCACGAAGTGGACGTTGGTGCGTCCTTTCTTGCCCCGCTCTGCCTGCAGCAGCTTGACGGCCTGCAGATGCGCCAGGCTGCTGACGTGCGTGCCGCAGCACATGTTGTCGTCGATGCCCTCCATGCTGACGATACGCACAGCGCCCTGTGTGCGGCAGCAAGCGGTCAGTCTGAGGCTGGTGGCGGCTGGCAGCGAGCGACAGATGGCGGCAGGTTAGAACAAAACAGAGCACAGCTGAAGACATTAGAGCAGGGCAGGACAGGACAGGGCAGGGGGACAGGGCAGGGCAGGGCAGGGCAGGGCAGGGGCAGGGGAGGGCAGGGCAGGGCAGGGCAGGGCAGGGCAGGGCACGGCGGGCAGGGCAGGGCAGGGCAGGGCTGGAAAGAGCAGCACAGCACAGAAGCAATCAGATAGAGACGAACAGGATAAGGAAGGGTGGGGCGGGGCACAGTACAGCAGAGCACAGCAAAGCGCGGTGAGGAAAGCAGACTAAGGCACAGCAGGGCAGGGCAAAAAAATGTGGACTTGAGTCAGGGTGTAGCAAGTGCTTTTCGAGTAAGGACAGAACTAGACGTTTGTGCAAGAGCAGGTTAAGGATGGATTTAGAGCAGTCAGCGACGCTAAGGCGGTGCTAGATTCGGAGCAGCCGGTGACACTAGGACGGTGTTAGAATCGGAGCAGCGGGGTGACACCAGGGCGGTGTTAGATTCGGTGCAGCAGGTGGCACCAGGGTGGTGTTAGATTCGAAACAGCCGGCGGCACTAGGGCCGTGCTCGTTTCGGAGCAGTCAGCGACACTAGGGCGGTGTTAGATTCGGAACAGCCGGTGACACTAGAGCGGTATTAGATTCGGAGCAGCCGGTGACACTAGGGCGTTGTTAGTTTCATGCCAGCAAAGTGGCGTTGGCTAAAGTCAAGAGGCAGAGTGGGCCCAGTTATACTCTGCTGTACGGCCAGTTAAGGTGACTGTAGTCAAGACAATATGACACATCTCAGGCGAATACGAGCGGGCCAGGAAACGGCGCGCGTTCACAGGGATCAATACAGTCAACCATGTCACATAAATTAGGCCCTACCAGTCTGGCACTACGCAGAGTGCACAGTGTCCCATATTTGGTACATGTTTCAAAAACCCGTTGTGGCGAAACCTCAGGACCACCTAGCCTAATAATAGCGCTGGGTAGTGCCACTGCAGCACTACGAAGATATCGTAATGATATCAATAATTATCATTTTCTAGTCCAAATTACGCTGTCAACGCTTTGCAACAGTACTACACTTCCTCCCTTCTTGGTAGCCCCAGAGTGTATCCCGAGTCCGCGACAACTACAGCTGTCGTGACCGCGGTCGTCATGACAACGGCACAATCTGCTGAGGGCCGTCGTCAGCTGTTACGGGTTAGAGGTACCCTGCTGAGCTGTTTTAACGCACACATTGTCACCCTGACGACGGGCGTGGCACTTTTACTGGTATGAATGATGCCAGTACAAATGAACGTAATTGCTACAGCGGGCGGCAACGGCAAAGCACCGAGAAGTGCACTGGCTGGAGCTTGAGCCAATGTGTCACTTAAGACCATGTAATACTCCGCTTCCCAAAGCCAAAGATGCACTTTGATAAGACCCAATGTGGTAAACGCCATAGGGGAGAAATCAAAGCTATAGTTTAACGCTTCGTTGAATTCGCGGGATAATAGCCTCAAGTTGCATATATTTTTACCTTGAGTGTTTCCATCTTTTGTAGCGCTTATTACAGTCATCTTCGCAAATTAGTGTGTTCCAAACATTAGGGAACATACGTTGGGAAAAGCGAGAAGCGAGTAGAAAGTCCAATGAGATTTCTCCCGCGGGAGAGGCAACTTCAAATCGAAAGTCTGAGCTATTCAAGATCTCGAGAAAACTAGTATCACCGATCAAATTCGACGTGTCTGAGCTAACACTACGACGTGTCTGAGCCAACACTACGGCGTGTCTGAGCTAACACTACGACGTGTCTGAGCTAACACGACGACGTGTCTGAGCTAACACTACGTGAAAAGTACAAGGGCGGCATACCGCCTGTAAGATCAAACCGGACAAACCACGCGGGGATCATCGTAGCCACGCAAAGCAAATATCATTCCAAACAACGATATTTGAGGCAAAAAATGTGCCAATGTTCACAATTAACATGAAGTTCGGGAAGAACGTGTAGGAAATCTTTACACCCGCAGCACGCTTGTCAACTGGCAGTTCTATTGCAACTAGCTATCGCAAGTCTAACCAGTTTTATGCAATGTCAAAGGTCAGACACCCACACACCCCGCACGAAGGCACAGCGCAGGTCACATGTGCGATGTCAGTGGCGCTTCACTGACCGTGTGGTCGTCGGGCAGGCCACGCGCCCTGACCCCGGCCAGCTGGGGGTCACCGGGCTGGTGAACCGTGACCCGGACGGGGCGCGCCTCCCGGATCAGCTCATTGGCGCGCCGCTCGGCCGCCTCCAGCTGGTCACGTGACAGCTCGGCGGCGTCTGATTGGCCAGAAGGGAAGCGCACCGATTGGAGGCGGCCGTACACGGGGCGGGCGAGCACTGACAGTCGCGCGCGGCATGGCACTGGGGCGCTGCGAAGTACGCGTGATAACGAACGTCCCCTATCAGCGCAGGCGTGTCCGTGCGTTATGATCGCTACGGAGAGAGAACGCCACGTTCTCGTGCTCATCTGTAGCTCACCGCATGGCGAGTGTACGGGCTGGGGCCGGAGGCGTCTGAGCCTCCCGGGCTGACGGCAGCCGAGAGCCCGCACCACGTCAACGCTAGGCGTGCAGCCAATAACTCACCATAACGGCGGAACAGCGACATAACCGCATGACAAGGAGCCGATTATAATGGTAACTGATTCATCACGCTGATGAGTAACACATAATAATGCAACAATATAATAAAATTAGCACTGTTGCTGTCAGCTGAATGTATGCCTAATATAAGCACAAGCACCAATGGGATCAGGCACAATGGTCTAGTGAGCCAGGCTCAGCAAGTCCCCACCCAGCCCGCCTCCCCTTAGCTGTGCACAGCCCACCGATCTCGATGAATGAGACGGTGTCTCGCAGCGCCCAGGAGGTGGTCTGGAAGCCATACAGCTGGTCCAGGATGGCGGTGATCAAATGCTGACCTGGCGAGGGTGGGAGGGGACGTCAGCTGGACGTCAGCCCATCACTGCCCGCCATGTCACAGCTCAGGGCCCCAGCTCTGGGCCACATCAGAGGAGCCACCTGAAGAGTACATCACTGGGGTCACCCGAGGCTTTCATTACTGGAGCCACCTGAGCCATACATCAATGGCGCCTCAGGTGATGACGAGCCTGCTGAGTTCAATGAAGACACTCAAAGCTCAATGCTCCAGCTCAATGAAGGCAGTCCTTGGCTGACATAGCCAGAACCAACACCACAACCCATATGACTGATGCCAATTCTGCCAGTTATTTCATGACGCTCAACTTTCTAGCTCCCATAAGCTGAAGCATACAAGACATGGAGGTTGCAAAAAGGTGATCAGGGGTGCCTGATAGCATAAGTTCAACCATTTCTACATGACAGTGGCCCTATATGGGACCTTGCCTATTCAAAATCACTGGAACAGACCAGGCCTCCAAATCTGTAACGACACATTTACCCATTATACCAGCTCTCTAGCACTGATAACATGGAAGCCCACAACATACCACCTCCCTGCCTTCACACTGCTGCTCAGCAGCATACCTCCAGGTCATGCTACCCCCTTCTACTGACACCCACCCACCCACCGGAATGTTGTTGCATATGGTGCCAGCGGCGACACCAGTCCACTGTGACCTCCACCACGTCGCCCGGTGCCAGCGGGTCACGGACGAAGTGGACTGCCTCGGCGCCGCGTCTGGTGACGCGCAGCACCTCCGACGAGCCGATCGTGCCACGGTCGTCCGGCTGCCGTCACGCCAGATGTACGTAAGGCAAGGCCGTCAGGGAGAGCGCAGCAATGTGGCCATTACATGGAGGCATGAATGAAGGCCTCCATGCCATCACATGGAGCCATGAATGAAGGCCTCCGTGCCATCGCATGGAGCCATGACTGAAGGCTTCAGCATTGTAATCATAATCAATACATCACAGATATTATGATGGTGCCAATGTTTGGTGGTTGAGAGTAAGTACACAACATATTGAGGCAAGGCAGTGAATGATGCCATGTCTTATTGGTTGCTACCCATTGTATGCCAAGTTCTGTGGGGTGTAATCAATAGCACAGCTACAGCCTACTCATATCATACCTGACCACCTCCTTCTGGGAATAATATTGTGTCATCCAGAATGACCTCATATCCCTTGACCTTTGTCTTCTTGCCCTCCAAAATCACTTGACATTCAGCAGGTGAGCAGCTGACAACTGTAGCAGGGAGCTGAAATGCAATGTCTCGTCAGTTTGATACAAAAGTGTGAGACTATGCTCAAAACACACATGAGGTGCCATGGTGAACTAACATTGAATTAGATCTCAAAACAAAATGGTGGCTTTGCCTAATGCCTATAAAAACCATGGCACATGTTCTGAGCATCGAAAATGCATACATAGTTCTTCCTTGTATCAAGATTGAATCTGACCATGAACAGTTTAGATAGTCAATCCCCTCAAATAAATATATTAGAATTCTTAATTACCAAAGGCAATGTTAAAAAACAATGATTTAGAGGTGAAAAATTATACCAAGATAAGTCTCCTTAATAGAAAAAATATCATTTCATAGTCTTTCATGACACCTTGGATTTCTCAAACCATAGGTTCACAAAAATGTTGAGAGAGCAAGACAAAAGTTAGGACAGTATCAACAAAAAATACCTAAAATTGAAATATACATAACAGGCCAGCAAACCACAAAGTCAAAAGAACCAAATCAGAATGTTTCCTTTGGTTCAGCTTCACTTGTGCTTCACTTGCAGCATGCATGATTGATTGCCATCCTGCAGTAAACAGACACCACCTCACTTGTTTGCCTTGTCATCTAAGAGCACAAATAATTGGCCTTGCTTTGTTTACCTGCATTTTGGCACCAGTCTGTAGAAGATGTCAGTCTGGCCTTGAATAAATTTGCAGCAGGTCTAATCCTACCCCAAATAGGGCAGCCAACTTCTCTGCTTGGGGCAGGGTCTGGCGATCTGATGACCTGGGGTCTTTCAGATTTTCCTCATAATCTAATTTTCACCTACTGACCACCAATTGCTCCCTCTCCCTGCTTTGTTCAAGATAGCCTGAAATAACACTGAGCTTAACATCCATTATTTTGCATTACATCTTTATGATACCAGACCTCAAACATTTCAAGTGCAATGCTTGAGACAAGATATCATACATCTGATACCCAAGCCCCCGCACTCCCACTGGCCTCTCTAGTGTGCGGTTGTTTGTATATGGTCTACCTGTTCAGTGCAAGCAACCAAAGCTGGTACAAGTCCACTTTGCAACTGTTGATGACAGTTGTTGAGAGCTTCAACTTAATAAATTGGTCTATAGCTAAATGGATTTTGTACAAGCAGTCACATCCAGGATCGCAGGGTTAGAATGGCAGATAAAGGCAACTATGACACCATTATGGCAAACATGGTGCGCACAGTCTTATGGATATCTGCCATTACAAATGGCCACTCCTAATTTTCATACATGGTGAGTTTTGCGGCCCCAACAGACTTCTGTGCCAGCTCATACCAGCCCCAAGGTACCATGAGCTGCCCAAAAAATGACCAACTGTGATCAAGTAATTACTGCTCGAAAATCCAAAACCTCCTCCAAATGCCAATTCTTGCCTCAACTCTGCTCCAACAGAAACCTATTCAAAATCTCCCCCATCTTGCAAACCAGTTTACACTCAATAATATCTATTGAGTTTTCTCCTATCCAAGCATCCATGCAAAGGTCCCTTTGCCAGCCCAACTCCCCAAGCATTACACGAACCTTTTTAAATTGCATGCTGATCACATTTTTTCATGTCATTGTTAACTTCTGGCTCTTTCACACTCGCTTCCCCTGAACTTGCATGCAACATGTACCTACCTTTCTAGCATAGCTATCATTTTGGCAAGCAAAAACCATAATTGTAAAGAAATTGAACCAGAGGCTGCAGAAAGACGGCCCACTATCAAAACTTCACAATAAGGCAATTTCTATCCGTAGCTTTGGCCGAAGCCAACGTCCGTCTGTCCAGCAGCAGATTTACATCCAATTGCCAGTTCGATATGCCGGGGCGTTTCGATCGCCTCACAATTTGGTGTGCATGACCTTCTCGACACGCTGATTCCGAAAATCACCGTCTTTGGGGTGGGATTTTGCGTAGCTTCCGAGTTACAAGGCGCGTAATATCGCCAGATCGACGTCGCGGGGCGCTTCAATTACCTCCAAATTTGGTGTACAGAGCCTTCTCTATACGCTGATTTCGAAAATCAGTGTCTTTGGGGAAGGATTTTGCGTAACTTCTGAATTACATGGCGCGTAACACCCCAGTTGGATATTGCGGAGCGTCTTGATTGCCTCCAAATTTAGTGTGCAGGGCCTTCTTAACACGCTGATCCCGACAATCACTGTCTTTGGGGTAGGCTTTTGTGTAGCTTCCGAGTTATAGGACGCGTAACACCCCAGTTGGATATTGCGGGTCGTCTCGATTGCTTCCAAATTTGGTATAAGGGCCTTCTCAACACGGTGATTCCGAAAATCAGCGTCTTTGGGGTGGGATTTTGCGTAACTTTCGAGTTATGACACATAACACCCCAACGTGATATTGCAGGGCTTCTCGATTGCCTCCAAATTTAGTGTGTAGGGTCTCTCAACACGCTGATTCCGAAAATCACTGTCTTCGGGTTGTAATTTTGCGTATCTTCCGAGTTATACGACGCGTAACACCCTAGTTGGATATTGCGGGCGTCTCGATTGCCTCCAAACTTAGTGTGGAGGGCCTCCTCAACACGCTGATTCCGGAAATCATTGACAATGTGGTAGAATTTTTGCGTAATTTTGGAGTCTAAAGACGTAGAATGTGGCTGTTTTATATTGCCACCTTATTGGCAGTGGAACCTGCTGGAAATTTGTTTCGCCGAAGCCAATGATTGTCCGTACTTGCCCACGAGCATACTGCTATCCCGTTAAAATTTGTTTAGGATGAGGAAGTGAAACGTGGGTTGTGAGAATGTGTAGTTATTGGTTGTAATGAACAACGGTGTTTTTAGACATGGAATTTTACGGGACAATCCGTTTTTTTGGACACTGTTGGACAGACAGCTGATCCGTCCTTATGCTCTCGATTGGACTTTGGACAATCGTTCCGGAAGGACGTCTGGTCAGGAGATATCATCCCACCATTACACAAAAGCAAAACGATCGTTCTCGCTGCCGCTGCTTTTGATTTGTATGACAGTACTTAAGCGGATCCGTGGGTCCGTGAAAAGCCGACTACTTTGGGATTTGAATAAAGCTTAAATTTTGTTATCCGCTATTTGTACACCTGCGAAGTCTATGTTACGTTACAAACAACGCCCTAGAAAAGTTTGACTTTATTACATTTTCGGCATATGGAAATGAACATACGACACAATGCTTGAATATAGGCTAGGTACATCGGACCTCACAATAAATCAGTTCTAAAACGCCAGTCTCAAGGCTACCATCACCTGTTTCTTTCGCACTTATGATTCTTGTTATCCTTGGGAACACACACGCCGCGCTCCTGTGAACATTTGATGCACCGCAGCACGCTGACCCTGCCACACATCTTCGCCGCTAGCCAGCCAGTCATCTGGCACGACGGCCATCACAGGAGTACGACCACGCGACAGGCAATGTCAGTAAAAACGACGCTTCACGGAGGAAGAGAATCATCAACGGTAGATGGCTGCAGCCCCAGTTCGTTTCCATCCCCAGTCTGATCCCCTGCGTGACACAGTGCGGGATGTGGGCAACAAAATCCATCAGGTGACGCGTGGGGACGAGGCTGGTTGCCATCAGCACCTGGGTGAGGACGGGGTCGGTGGCAATCAGCGCCCGGCGTCGCAGGTCGTGCGCCGTCTCATGCTTCGGCACGCAGCCGGCTATCAGCTGCTCGGGCCCCCTGACCACCGGCGTATCGCCACCGCCGTCCGGCTGGCTCGCGTAGTGCGGCGTCTCCACCACGGTCAGCAGCAGCGGGCTGATGTGGCCGACCAGCCAACAACATGGGCATGGCGTGCACAAGGGGCATGCGCTGCTCCACCAGCGTCACCAGCGTCCTTGGGAGATAAGACAGACGGTGACATCACCCAAATCTTCAGGCTCCAGCGGTGAGGCACGATTGGTGTGGTCACAAGCGACATCTTGTCAGTTTTTGGTCAGAGCAAACGATGGCGATGACTACGTCGGACTGTTACTCCACCACCTTAAAGGTCAGAGACGAAACAAAGCTGAGAAGGATGCCACTGGGCCATACCACCATGCCAATGATAGCACATACCACACGGTTATCACTCACATCTCGCGAACTGACCTTCTCCAGTGAACTGACACGGACAGGCCCAAACGCGAATTCCAGTATTCCAAAGCGCATTGAAGCCTGGCTTCCCCAACACGCATCTACCGACTATGCATATGGCTATCCCCTCCAGTGAATTTAATGTCAAATTATGCACCAGTAAGTTCGTCTACATTCAAAACTGGATCCACGAAGATCAAGCGCGTTTTCACCCTGAAAAGAGAAGGCATATGTCAGCTCGCCTGACCCCGTGTTGTCTCGCGGCCTCTTGAAAATGTTAGTCTCCGACCCGTTGTGGTCGGTTGCCGCTGTGGCCAGCAGCTGGCCGAACGGGACCAGCTCAACCATCAGCAAGCGCGTCAGCAGAATCAGGTGAACCAGCATCACAATGGGGAACGGATTGCCAGACGCCTGCTCCCGAGACACGGCCAGTGGCAGGCCCGGGATTGGGCTGACAGCTGTAAACACGACAGTGCCCCGTCAGACCACCGATCGGCGCAGGCGTCGCGACAAGACAGGCTTCAATGACGTGGACTTTTACAAAACATCGCCTGTTACCATACATAACTTATCAGCAAGCCAGGCCACCAAAACGTGAAATATTATTATTTTATGCCATTTGCACTACGTCGTAACATGAGCTGAAGATATGTCGTGCAAACATCACCAAGTGTTACGCACATCGCGCTGAACGCATCTAAATGGAGACCAAAGTTTGGCAGAATTCTGCAGCATGAATACCACATACAAGAGTGTAGAGAAAGATCCCGAATTAATTCAGCAAGTAACACAACCACTCTGATATGTCACTTGTGAGCAATATCTTTACCAGATATAATCATTTTAAATATTCGGCAGACAGTTCATAGCAACCACAGCGAGCTTGGAATGGTTCAAATTGTCACCACAGATACTTGACAGCCTGTTCTCAGCGGCAGCAAGGAAAATGGCGAAAGCGTTCACAGTGGCTATGCACCGCGTTCTAAAGGCCGCTTGACTTTCAAAGTCGCGAGAATCGACGGCTCAGCCCGGTGTTTTAATATTCGGTCACTTGGGTGGCATGTATGTGTATATTTTTCATGCTATTACACCCCGGCTTGTGGCTCACTGCTGACTGCCCATCCGCTTGTTCAAAATCAGCCAATCAGCATCGAACTGCGCAGCCGTGAAGCCAGTATCTATGCACCTCAGGCTTGGCAAATGAACTAAGTAGGTCAGGTGTCTGGGTCGGGTCAAAGGGCAACGCGAGGGCATGCATTAGCGCGAACGAACTGCGTGCGGGGCCGCCGCCGGATAGCTAGGATTCTGGTAGCATTAAGTTATGTTTAAATCCCGTACACCCCACTGAATGAGCTTTGGAACGCTGGCTGCACTGCACCCACAAGTGGGACCCACCATCGCGACATACTCTGAACGAGCACCGTCCGATCCAGTCCTTCCGTGATCCCGCGCCGGTCCGCATCCCTCGGCGGGCTCATCCGTCTCAGGCGCCGCACTGAAGACAACCTCCGCGAGAAGCACCATGACCACGTCGTTGGACTTCATTTTGGCCGGCTGGCTGTGGCAGGCGGCGGGCAGCGTGGCACCGTGACGCGCCTGGAATGGCACCGGCGTTAGCAGCACGGATACTTGGCTGATGCCGAACGCCGGCCGCAGAGTGTCCTATTTCAGCTCGAGCAGCGAAATCAGGTATGCTTACACCTGCCGACGGCCAAGGGGATGGATCAGATGGAACATCCTGGGGCAGCCACGGACACCGGCCAGAGCTTCCTAGCTGGGGCAGCCAAAGACGCAAATAAAAAGCACAAGTTCCAAAGATGCAAGCACAATGACACAGCCTGAGACCACAGGTACTGTGGAAGCGAATATATGTATGAATGTGCAAAAAAGACAGCAGAAGACAAAAAGATGCTGTTAACTGAAAAGAGGTGGACAGAGCAGCACAGTCGTTTCGAGTTGGGAGCCAACGGAGGAATGTTTGCAACTATGCAAAATTAAATTCTTTCTGACCTTACTCCGAGACAAATATTGGGCTAAGTAGCGAGCCCCCCCATGTAGGTATATGCACCTCATCCTACCCATCCCCTTACCAAATTTAAGGTCATGTATTCATGCGTACGTAACAGTATGCTGGAAGCTGAAAACTGCATGTAAGTCCGCAAAAACGAGAAGATCAAGAACGTGCAACATCCATTTCAGCAGTTCAAGATACGCAAGAAACGGCGGGGGCTGTACCACAGTTTACAGTGAAAACGTTGGAGTTGTGTCCGGCTGGTGAAATTTTGGGTGCGCCTATGCACAAGTGTCACATATTTCTAGCGGCCGCGGCGCCAGTGTCCCTCTGCGGAACGGCATCGCGGAACGGCTTGTGGGAGCCGTTTTTCCTGAGCGGCGAGGCACGGCACCACTGGAAGTTCGGGTGCCTGTCCCCCGGCGACGGCCACGTTGACTGTCGGCTACACCGGGCCTGAAGCCGAGGCCCGACGGCCGGGCGACCGAGAATGTCCCATCAAGCGTCCCAGTTGTTACAGTTGGGTTATGCGCCTGCGTGAAGGGGAGGGGAAACAGCCAGCTCCGAATCAAGCACAACGCGGATTGTGGAGACCGGCCTTTCGGGCACTTTCGTGCCCTGACCTCAACGGGGTGTGAACTGCATCTGTAAGAATTTTTGCTCAGTTTGGGCCGCGCGATCATTCCAGGTATGGTCATCAAGCTTAGGTCGAATCATAGCGTCATGCGTTTAGGGCTCATTTTCCCCGACTTAGTTTTATCATTGAGTTAATCGATCCATTT